TCAGTTTGAGGTATTTTGACTTCATCAGTTATCATACAAAGAATGGTGTGATGTGTTAGCACTTATAACTGGTATTATGAGTGTGGAAAAGAATGTCTCTGAGTGGTGCTGGAGATGTCGGCCGGGTCGCTCAAGAATTTAATGCAAATAATGTTTAACAGTTTGATTTTCTCTAGAATAGTGGAAAAGTTTAGTTCTTCCCTCAAGTTCACGCTCCTAGAGCATCTTGGGGGAACCAAGAACCAACCATATAGACGGAACCAAGAGCTGGGAAGGTGATGGTTGAAGGAGTCTGACCATCAGGGCGCGGGGACACCACCCTGCCGACCATACCATAGAAGAACCACCCTATCCACCATATGGGGGATAGGTCGCGGGCGGACACAAGACCGCTAACCACCCAACCCGTCCTCTTAAAAATAACGTCACTTTTGGCGCGTATGCGCGTTATGGCCAAATTTGGACGTAATTTGAAATGAAATCGACTCACAAAAGTGACGTACTGTTCCGTTTTCTGTTTGAGTCGCCCGGCTTACTCGACAAGCTTAGAAAAGGAAATTTTCCATTAACGTTTTTCATAACGTTTTGAAACTTTATGAGAATTTCCTGCCCACCTAACCTATCAGAGGACCCTTAACTTACTGTTGTTGAAAAAAAAAAATCCCAAATTTATTTTCATTTTTTTTCATTATCAAATTACGTCCATATTCGGCCATACGGGCAAACGGCCAAAAGCGACGTTCTTTTTAAGAGGACAGGTTGCGCCACCTCATCAACATCTCACACCGCCCCTGGCCATCAAGCAGAAGCATATTAGTCGCTCCTGGCGACTAGTACCTCTCATAAGGAACCGGACTTTGAGTGAACGTCCTCTGAGAAGAGGACGTGCGCCTGGAGACAACTAGTCCTTAATGCGGACCGGAGACAGCTTTAACGTCTACTCCTCGACATCCTTGTCTGTCTCGCATACACATCGACCTTCATGCGTCCCTCTATAGCCTCTAGCCCAGCAGAATTGATCGAGGTTGGTAATCTTTATCTCTCATGTGTCCTGTTGTTTGGCTCGTGTGGCATTACTGTTTGGTTGTTTGACTTGTGTTTACAAGTTAACACTGGAAGAGTCAGTTACACCCAGAAGTTAACATTGGTACAGTCAGTTACACCCAGAAGTTAACACTGATACAGTCAGTTACACCCAGAAGTTAACACAGTCACAGTCAGTTACACCCAGAAGTTAACACCGCCACAGTCTGTTACACCCAGAAGTTAACACAGTCACAGTCAGTTACACCCAGAAGTTAACACTGATACAGTCAGTTACACCTAGAAGTTAACACTGATACAGTCAGTTACACCTAGAAGTTAACACTGATACAGTCAGTTACACCCAGAAGTTAACACAGTCACAGTCAGTTACACCTAGAAGTTAACACTGATACAGTCAGTTACACCCGGAAGTTAACACTGCCACAGTCAGTTACACCTAGAAGTTAACACTGATACAGTCAGTTACACCCAGAAGTTAACACTGCCACAGTCAGTTACACCCAGAAGTTAACACTGATACAGTCAGTTACACCCAGAAGTTAACACTGATACAGTCAGTTACACCCAGAAGTTAACACTGATACAGTCAGTTACACCCAGAAGTTAACACTGATACAGTCAGTTACACCCAGAAGTTAACACTGATACAGTCAGTTACACCCAGAAGTTAACACTGATACAGTCAGTTACACCCAGAAGTTAACACTGATACAGTCAGTTACACCCAGAAGTTAACACTGCCACAGTCAGTTACACCCAGAAGTTAACACTGATACAGTCAGTTACACCCAGAAGTTAACACTGCCACAGTCAGTTACACCCAGAAGTTAACACTGATACAGTCAGTTACACCCAGAAGTTAACACTGCCACAGTCAGTTACACCCAGAAGTTAACACTGGTACACTCTCCACCTGCCTCATTCTACACCTGCCACACTCTACACCTGCCACACTCTACACCTGCCACACTCTACACCTGCTGCACTCTACACCTGCCATACTCTACACCTGTCACACTCTACACCTGCCACACTACACCTGCCACACTCTACACCTGCCACACTCCACCTGCCACTTTCTACACCTGCCTTATTCTACACCTGCCACACTACACCTGCCACACTCCACCTGCCACTTTCTACACCTGCCTCATTCTACATCTGCCACATTCTACACCTGCCACACTCTACACCTGCCACACTCTACACCTGCCACACTACACCTGCCACACACTACACCTGCCACACTCTACACCTGCCACACTCTACACCTGCCACACTCCACCTGCCACTTTCTACACCTGCCTCATTCTACACCTGCCACATTCTACACCTGCCACACTCTACACCTGCCACACTACACATGCCACACCCTACACCTGACACACTCTACACCTGCCACACTCTACACCTGCTATACTCTACACCTGCCACACACTACATCTGCCACACTCTACACCTGCCACACTCTACACCTGCCACACTCTACACCTGCTACACTCTGCACTTGCCATACTCTACACCTGCCACTCTACACCTGCCACACTACACCTGCCACACTCTACACCTACCACACTACACCTGCCACACTCTACACCTGGCACACTACATCTGTAATACTCTACACCTGCCACTCTCTACACCTGCCACACTCTGCACCTGCCACACTCTACACCTGCCACACTCTACACCTGCCACACACTACACCTGCCACACCCTACACCTGCCACACTCTACACCTGCCACACTCTACACCTGCCATATTGTACACCTGCCACACTCTACACCTGCCACACCCTACACCTGCCACACTCTACACCTGCCACACCCTACACCTGCCACACTCTACACCTGCCACACCCTACACCTGCCACACTCTACACCTGCCACACTCTGCACCTGCCACACTCTACACCTGCCACACTCTACACCTGCCACACACTACACCTGCCACACCCTACATCTGCCACACTCTACACCTGCCACACACTATACCTGCCTCACTCTACACCTGCCACACTACACCTGCCACACTCTACACCTGCCACACCCTACACCTGCCACACTCTACACCTGCCACACTCTGCACCTGCCACACTCTACACCTGCCACACTCTACACCTGCCACACACTACACCTGCCACACCCTACATCTGCCACACTCTACACCTGCCACACACTATACCTGCCTCACTCTACACCTGCCACACTACACCTGCCACACTCTACACCTGTCGGAAAATCCGACACCATTTAATATATCATACAGACAGATAATAGCTGTGTTGTATAAACAAGTTAACCATAGAAAACGTGACTTGTAGTGGAATTACCGTCTATAGAAAACAGGATATCATCACCACATACTATTATAATTCACCAGCTATTCTGCTGGGAATTATTCTTAAATACATTAGTCTTTGGACTTTACCATCATAAAAACATCTTATATAAATTAACTTAATTATTAATATTAAAGTAGAGTAAATGTGACCCTTCTATCACTTTCTGAAATCTGGACAATGTAAGCCAGGCGTCAGGGAGGAAGGAGGGCAGCCATTGTTTATACTAGACCAGAGGCTCACGGCAGCAAATACGGCTCCTGTTAATTTTACTTGGACGTAGTGTTATGGAAACCAAAGGTGTAACATTTATCACACGCTGTCAACAAATTCAAGTTAAGTGTTCTTTCCGAAACCCAGTATCTTTCATTTATGGCCATTAATGTCATTATATAGGGTGAACCGGTTAGAGCACGACATAGCCTCAAACTAAAGGTAATTAAGCCAGGTCTTTATTGTTCCATGTATAGTATTTTCTCTGATATAGCTTGTCATATATAGGTACCTGGCTTTACAGCTAGCGCCCTTTTAACAGGTCAAGTCGAGGAAGCAAGATTTTGTGCACCAGTTACTGGGTGATGGAAGCTACCTCAAAGAGGATAATTTGGTGTCTACACCCTAGTTATACCTGGTGGACTAACCTGCTGTACTATAAGATAAGGAACCTCTTCAATGTATGTAGTCTATTACTGTAGTTTGATTGGCTGCATATATATTCAATTAATAATAACCCCCCTAATGTGTAGAGGATCGATTTGTGAGATTATGAGATTATTGCAGAAATACAGTCCACTTATCATTATACAAATTGCTATCGAAGTATATAAATTAACATAAATATAAATTCATATAAATTAAATAAATATAAATCTCACAGGTCGGTTCCCACAACACCTGCCACACTCTACACCTGCCACACCCTACACCTGCCACACTCTACACCTGCCACTCTACACCTGACTGCCACACTCTACACCTGCTACACCCTACACCTGCCACACTCTGCACCTGCCACACTCTACACCTGCCACACTCTACACCTGCCACACACTACACCTGCCACACCCTACACCTGCCACACTCTACACCTGCCACACTCTACACCTGCCACACCCTACATCTGCCACACTCTACACTTGCCACACACTACACCTGCCACATACTATACCTGCCTCACTCTACACCTGCCACACTCTACACCTGCCACTCTACACCTCCCACATTCTACACCTGACTGCCACACTCTACACCTGCCACACTCCACACCTGCCACACCCTACACCTGCCACTCTACACCTGCCACACTCTACACCTGCTACACTCTACACCTGTCACACAGCGACCTGTATCATAACGCCAACTCATTTCACAACACACACGAACTTAAATCACAACTCAAAAAGTAACACAACCCAACTAACAGCAACACAATACATACACCCATAACACACACACGCAACACCAACCACACACTACAACACACACACACACACACACACACACACACACACACACACACACACACACACACACACACACACACACACACACACACACACACACAAACACACACACACACCAACTACTCGACACAACACAAACCCACTATACCAAGCACACACAACACAACACCACACATAAGACACTATGTATAGGTAACACAAGGCGAGAAACACTGACCAGTCGCATCCCACGCAAGACAGAGAGCCCCGAGCCGATCTCAAGGCCGAGGTCGAGCAAGGAGGCCAGCACGATCACCAAGTCGAAGACGTTCCATTTGTTGACGAAGAACTCCTTGCTCAGGGCCATCAACTTCATGATGCACTCCAGGGTGAAGACCGCCGTGAAGACCTGCCGGGGGGTTAAGATGTTATTGTCAACACCTGTTTGGAGGACATGTGGATTGTCAACACCTGTCTGGGGGACATGTGGATTGTCAACACCTGTCTGGAGGACATGTGGATTGTCAACACCTGTCTGGAGGACATGTGGATTGTCAGCACCTGTCTGGGGGACATGTGGATTGTCAACACCTGTCTGGGGGACATGTGGATTGTCAACACCTGTCTGGGGGACATGTGGATTGTCAACACCTGTCTGGAGGACATGTGGATTGTCAACACCTGTCTGGAGGACATGTGGATTGTCAGCACCTGTCTGGGGGACATGTGGATTGTCAACACCTGTCTGGGGGACATGTGGATTGTCAACACCTGTCTGGGGGACATGTGGATTGTCAACACCTGTCTGGGGGACATGTGGATTGTCAACACCTGTCTGGAGGACATGTGGATTGTCAACACCTGTCTGGAGGACATGTGGATTGTCAGCACCTGTCTGGGGGACGTGTGGGTTGTTAACACCTGTTTGGAGGACATGTGGGTTGTTAACACCTGTCTGGAGGACATGTGGATTGTCAACACCTGTCTGGAGGACATGTGGGTTGTCAACACCTGTCTGGAGGACATGTGGGTTGTCAACACCTGTCTGGAGGACATGTGTGTTGTTAACACCTGTTTGGAGGACATGTGGGTTGTTAACACCTGTCTGGAGGACATGTGGATTGTCAACACCTGTCTGGAGGACATGTGGGTTGTTAACACCTGTCTGGGGGACATGTGGATTGTCAGCACCTGTCTGGGGGACGTGTGGATTGTCAACACCTGTCTGGGGGACGTGTGGATTGTCAACACCTGTCTGGAGGACGTGTGGGTTGTCAGCACCTGTCTGGAGGACATGTGGATTGTCAACACCTGTCTGGGGAACATGTGGATTTTCAACACCTGTCTGGGGGACATGTGGATTGTCAACACCTGTCTGGAGGACATGTGGATTGTCAACACCTGTCTGGGGGACATGTGGATTGTCAACACCTGTCTGGGGGACATGTGGATTGTCAACACCTGTCTGGGGGACATGTGGATTGTCAACACCTGTCTGGGGGACATGTGGATTGTCAACACCTGTCTGGGGGACATGTGGATTGTCAACACCTGTCTGGGGGACATGTGGGTTGTCAACACCTGTCTGGAGGACATGTGGGTTGTCAACACCTGTTTGGAGGACATGTGGATTGTCAACACCTGCTGTGACCAAATACACGCGCGCGCGTGTGTGCGTGTGTGTGTGTTTACTATTTATGTCTGTAGAATCGAGCTCTTGGACCCCGCCTTTCTAGTATATCTATTTTTCCTCTATTATGTCTGCGCTACATATATTTCTCGCTAACATACGTGCGCACACATACACATCGCCAGGAAGCATGCCGTAGCAGCTGTCTAACTCCCAGGTACCTATTTACTGCTAGGTGAACAGATACATCAGGGTGAAAGAAATTCTGACCCATTTGTTTCCTTTTTTTTTTTTTTTGTTTTTTTTTTTTTTTTTTGTGTGTGTGTGTGTGTGTGTGTGTGTGTGTGTGTGTGTGTGTGTGTGTGTGTGTGTGTGTGTGTGTGTGTGTACTCACCTAATTGTACTCACCTAATTGTGCTTGCGGGGGTTGAGCTCTGGCTCTTTGGTCCCGCCTCTCAACCGTCAATCAACAGGTGTACAGGTTCCTGAGCCTATTGGGCTCTATCATATCTACACTTGAAACTGTGTATGGAGTCAGCCTCCACCACATCACTGCCCAATGCATTCCATTTGTCAACCACTCTGACACTAAAAAAGTTCTTTCTAATGTCTTTATGGCTCATTTGGCCACTCAATTTCTACCTGTGTCCATAGTGTGTGTGCCCCTTGTGTTAAATCAACTGTCTTTGCCTACCCTATCAATTCGTTTGAAAATCTTGTATGTGGTGATCATGTCCCCACTAACTCTCCTGTTTTCCAGCGATGTGAGATTTAATTTCCCTAGTCCATCAGTAGTTTACCCTCATCGTGTACTAGCCTTTCCGTCTCCCGGCTCCTGATCCCATTCCTATCACCTTACACTTAGAGGTGTTGAACCCCAGCAGCCATTTCACAGACCAGCTCTGCAACTTGCTCAAGTTATCTTGGATGTTGTTGTTGTTAAAGATTCGCTACCTGGAACAAAAAGTTCCAAGTAGCACGGGCTATGGTGAGCCCGTAGTGCCTTTCTTGGAGAATCTTACAATCCTCATCTGTCTCAACCCTCATTAGTTTGACATCATCTGCAAACATCGACATATAAGACTTAACTCCTACAGTCAAGTCGTTTACATAAATGAGGCCCCTGGCATAGAAAGTTTCTTGTCATCACGTCTATTAGTTTAGTTCTCCATGTGCTTCTCTATTTTCCCAGTCTATCTGTCCACAGTTAAAGTCACCCATAATTAAGAGTTTAGATGTCTTCCTGCAAGCAATAGAAGCTGCTCTATTATGTTACTGGTTGCCATGTTGTTCTTGTCATACTGTTGTCTGGGTCTTCGTTATTACTGTGGTTCAGTACTCGGTAACCACTGCATTATGTGTAGAATAAATCTCCGTGGTGTAGTGGTAAGACACTCGCCTGGCGTTCCGCGAGCGCTATGTCATGGGTTCGTATCCTGGCCGGGGAGGATTTACTGGGCGCAATTCCTTAACTGTAGCCTCTGTTTAACGCAACAGTAAAATGTGTACTTGGATGAAAAAACGATTCTTCGCGGCAGGGGATCGTATTCCAGGGACCATAGGATTAAGGACTTGCCCGAAACGCTACGCGTACTAGTGGCTGTACAAGAATGTAACAACTCTTCTATATATCTCAAAAAAAAAGAAAAAAATCTCTAACCCGCGTGGGAACAGACGACAATGATTGTATGTTGGTTAGCATATTGAAAGTCATTCTGTCACTTGTGGTTGTGTTCACTCTCTAACCTTACCAATGCTGAACAGAAGAACATGTATATGTGATGGGTAGAAGTGTATAAATGTATGACCACGTCTGGGGCCCTGACGGCTGAGTGGAAAGCGCTTGGGATGCATTGTTTTAAGGTTCTGGGTTCGATCCCCGGTGGAGGCAGAAACATATGGGCAGAGTTTTTTCGCCCTGATGGCCCTGTTCACCTAGCAGTACATAGGTACCTGGGAGTTAGACAGCTGCTACGGGCTGCTTCCTGGGGATGTGTAACAAAAAGGAGGCCTGGTCAAAAACCGGGCCGCGGTGCCGCTAAGCCCCGAAATCATCTCAAGATAACCTCTCAAGATAACGTCTATAATATAAAATCAACACCAGTACCCGGCGAGGAAACAGAACTACTCACCCTGTTGCCGACTTCGAGGACCTTGTTGAGTTCGTAGGACATGCCGTGGTGCTCGATGGCGAGGAAGACGGTGTTGAGGATGATGCAGAGCATGATGAAGAGGTCGAAGACGGCGTCGTGCACCACCACGTGCATCATGTTCTGGAACTTGAGCCAGGTGCGGTAGTTGACGCAACACTCCCGGCACTTGTCACAGTTGCGGTCCACCACCTCGTCTGTCACGCCCCACACCGCACACAACGACACAACGTACATTTAGCTTACGATCATCATTCACAGAGCACTTACGTGCTCGCTTACGAGACTTGCGCCTCGTACCCGGGCCACGAGTCGTCAACCATTTACGCGCCAATTTACGAAACCTGCCCAACGTTCCTCAATCATGGCGGCTTTGTTTACATTTATCAAACAGCTTATGAGCTGCAATATAAAAACAGATTTGATTGTTCAAAGATGTAAAGGTTTCGTCAGTGGATGAGTAAATGCTTGATTAATCCCGGTCCAGGATCATAACACTTAAGACGGTATTTACAGAACAGTTTACGACCTCCAGAGCGATGCGACTTCGTATTGAACTTAAGAGTTATTTATCACATACGACCTCGTAGTGCCTCGGAGCCGCCATGAACGAGATAAGAGGTCACATCTCGTAAGTGGTAATGGTGCCAACCTCAATCATTATCATCAATGGTGGTGACCACAATCATCAACCCATCAATGGTGGTAACCACAATCATCAACCCATCAATGGTGGTGACCACAATCATCAACCCATCAATGGTGATAACTACCATCATCAACCCATCAATGGTGGTGACCACAGTCATCAACCCATCAATGGTGGTGACCACAATCATCAACCCATCAATGGTGGTGACCACAGTCATCAACCCATCAATGGTGGTAACCACAATCATCAACCCATCAATGGTGGTGACCACAGTCATCAACCCATCAATGGTGGTAACCACAGTCATCAACCCATCAATGGTGGTGACCACAATCATCAACCCATCAATGGTGGTGACCACAGTCATCAACCCATCAATGGTGGTGACCACAGTCATCAACCCATCAATGGTGGTGACCACAGTCATCAACCCATCAATGGTGGTAACCACAATCATCAACCCATCAATGGTGGTGACCACAGTCATCAACCCATCAATGGTGGTAACCACAATCATCAACCCATCAATGGTGGTGACCACAGTCATCAACCCATCAATGGTGGTAACCACAGTCATCAACCCATCAATGGTGGTGACCACAATCATCAACCCATCAATGGTGGTGACCACAGTCATCAACCCATCAATGGTGGTAACCATAATCATCAACCCATCAATGGTGGTGACCACAGTCATCAACCCATCAATGGTGGTAACCACAATCATCAACCCATCAATGGTGGTGACCACAGTCATCAACCCATCAATGGTGGTAACCACAGTCATCAACCCATCAATGGTGGTGACCACAATCATCAACCCATCAATGGTGGTGACCACAGTCATCAACCCATCAATGGTGGTGACCACAGTCATCAACCCATCAATGGTGGTGACCACAATCATCAACCCATCAATGGTGGTGACCACAATCATCAACCCATCAATGGTGGTGACCACAGTCATCAACCCATCAATGGTGGTAACCACAATCATCAACCCATCAATGGTGATAACTACCATCATCAACCCATCAATGGTGATAACTACCATCATCAACACATCAATGATGATAACTACCTTCATCAACCCATCAATGGTGATAACTACCATCATCAACCCATCAATGGTGATAACTACCATCATCAACCCATCAATGGTGATAACTACCATCATCAACCCATCAATGGTGATAACTACCATCATCAACCCATCAATGATGATAACTACCTTCATCAACCCATCAATGGTAGTGATTGCTGTCATCAACACATCAATGGTAGTGATTGCTGTCATCAACCCATCAATGGTAGTGATTGCTGTCATCAACCCATCAATGGTGATAACTACCATCATCAACCCATCAATGATGATAACTACCTTCATCAACCCATCAATGGTAGTGATTGCTGTCATCAACACATCAATGAAAATATTATAATCAGAGTACAAATGTACAACCACAAAGGTGATATTCTTAAGAGTAACTTGTGAGGAAGAAGGTAAACTGTGTTAACTCACCCTCGAGGACTGTAAACTGTGTTAACTCACCCTCCAGGACTGTAAACTGTTTGTTAACTCACCCTCGAGGACTGTAAACTGTTTGTTAACTCACCCTCGAGGACTGTAAACTGTGTTAACTCACCCTCGAGGACTGTAAACTGTGTTAACTTACCCTCGAGGACTGTAAACTGTGTTAACTCACCCTCGAGGACTGTAAACTGTGTTAACTTACCCTCGAGGACTGTAAACTGTGTTAACTCACCCTCGAGGACTGTAAACTGTTTGTTAACTCACCCTCGAGGACTGTAAACTGTTTGTTAACTCACCCTCGAGGACTGTAAACAGTTTGTTAACTCACCCTCGAGGACTGTAAACTGTGTTAACTCACCCTCGAGGACTGTAAACTGTGTTAACTTACCCTCGAGGACTGTAAACTGTGTTAACTCACCCTCGAGGACTGTAAACTGTGTTAACTTACCCTCGAGGACTGTAAACTGTGTTAACTTACCCTCGAGGACTGTAAACTGTGTTAACTCACCCTCGAGGACTGTAAACTGTGTTAACTCACCCTCGAGGACTGTAAACTGTGTTAACTCACCCTCGAGGACTGTAAACTGTGTTAACTCACCCTCAAGGACTGTAAACTGTGTGTTAACTCACCCTCAAGGACTGTAAACTGTGTGTTAACTCGCCCTCAAGGACTGTAAACTGTGTTAACTCACCCTCGAGGACTGTAAACTGTGTTAACTCACCCTCAACGACTGTAAACTGTGTTAACTTACCCTCGAGGACTGTAAATTGTGTTAACTTACCCTCGAGGACTCAAGGACTGTAAACTGTGTGTTAACTCACTCTCGAGGACTGTAAACTGTGTGTTAACTCACCCTCGAGGACTGTAAACTGTGTTAACTTACCCTCGAGGACTGTAAACTATGTTAACTTACCCTCGAGGACTTTAAACTGTGTTAACTTACCCTCGAGGACTGTAAACTGTGTTAACTCACCCTCGAGGACTCAAGGACTGTAAACTGTTAACTCACCCTCGAGGACTGTAAACTGTGTTAACTCACCCTCGAGGACTGTAAACTGTGTTAACTCACCCTCGAGGACTGTAAACTGTGTGTTAACTCACTCTCGAGGACTGTAAACTGTGTGTTAACTCACCCTCGAGGACTGTAAACTGTGTTAACTCACCCTCGAGGATTGTAAACTGTGTTAACTCACCCCTCGAGGACTCAAGGACTGTAAACTGTGTGTTAACTCACCCTCAAGGACTGTAAACTGTGTTAACTCACCCTCGAGGACTGTAAACTGTGTTAACTCACCCTCGAGGACTGTAAACTGTGTGTTAACTCACTCTCGAGGACTGTAAACTGTGTGTTAACTCACCCTCGAGGACTCAAGGACTGTAAACTGTGTTAACTCACCCTCGAGGACTGTAAACTGTGTTAACTCACCCTCGAGGACTGTAAACTGTGTGTCAACTCACTCTCGAGGACTGTAAACTGTGTGTTAACTCACCCTCGAGGACTGTAAACCTTGTTAACTCACCCTCGAGGATTGTAAACTGTGTTAACTCACCCCTCGAGGACTCAAGGACTGTAAACTGTGTGTTAACTCACCCTCGAGGACTCAAGGACTGTAAACTGTGTGTTAACTCACCCTCGAGGACTCAAGGACTGTAAACTGTGTGTTAACTCACCCTCGAGGACTCAAGGACTGTAAACTGTGTGTTAACTCACCCTCGAGGACTCAAGGACTGTAAACTGTGTGTTAACTCACCCTCGAGGACTCAAGGACTGTAAACTGTGTGTTAACTCACACTCGAGGACTGTAAACTGTGTGTTAACTCACCCTCGAGGATTCAAGGACTGTAAACTGTGTGTTAACTCACCCTCAAGGATTCAATGACTGTAAACTGTGTGTTAACTCACCCTCGAGGACTGTAAACTGTGTGTTAACTCACCCTCGAGGACTCAAGGACTGTAAACTGTGTGTTAACTCATCCTCGAGGACTGTAAACTGTGTGTTAACTCACCCTCGAGGACTCAAGGACTGTAAACTGTGTGTTAACTCACCCTCGAGGACTGTAAACTGTGTGTTAACTCACCCTCGAGGACTCAAGGACTGTAAACTGTGTGTTAACTCACCCTCGAGGACTCAAGGACTGTAAACTGTGTGTTAACTCACCCTCGAGGACTGTAAACTGTGTGTTAACTCACCCTCGAGGACTGTAAACTGTGTGTTAACTCATCCTCGAGGACTGTAAACTGTGTGTTAACTCATCCTCGAGGACTCAAGGACTGTAAACTGTGTGTTAACTCACCCTCGAGGACTCAAGGACTGTAAACTGTGTGTTAACTCATCCTCGAGGACTCAAGGACTGTAAACTGTGTGTTAACTCACCCTCGAGGACTGTAAACTGTGTGTTAACTCACCCTCGAGGACTCAAGGACTGTAAACTGTGTGTTAACTCATCCTCGAGGACTGTAAACTGTGTGTTAACTCACCCTCGAGAACTCAAGGACTGTAAACTGTGTGTTAACTCACCCTCGAGGATTCAGTGACTGTAAACTGTGTGTTAACTCACCCTCGAGGACTGTAAACTGTGTGTTAACTCACCCTCGAGGACTCAAGGACTGTAAACTGTGTGTTAACTCACCCTCGAGGACTGTAAACTGTGTGTTAACTCACCCTCGAGGACTCAAGGACTGTAAACTGTGTGTTAACTCATCCTCGAGGACTGTAAACTGTGTGTTAACTCACCCTCGAGAACTCAAGGACTGTAAACTGTGTGTTAACTCACCCTCGAGGACTCAAGGACTGTAAACTGTGTGTTAACTCACCCTCGAGGACTCAAGGACTGTAAACTGTGTGTTAACTCATCCTCGAGGACTCAAGGACTGTAAACTGTGTGTTAACTCACCCTCGAGGACTCAAGGACTGTAAACTGTGTGTTAACTCACCCTCGAGGACTCAAGGACTGTAAACTGTGTGTTAACTCACCCTCGAGGACTGTAAACTGTGTGTTAACTCACCCTCGAGGACTCAAGGACTGTAAACTGTGTGTTAACTCACCCTCGAGGACTCAAGGACTGTAAACTGTGTGTTAACTCACCCTCGAGGACTGTAAACTGTGTGTTAACTCACCCTCGAGGACTCAAGGACTGTAAACTGTGTGTTAACTCATCCTCGAGGACTCAAGGACTGTAAACTGTGTGTTAACTCATCCTCGAGGACTCAAGGACTGTAAACTGTGTGTTAACTCACCCTCGAGGACTCAAGGACTGTAAACTGTGTGTTAACTCACCCTCGAGGACTCAAGGACTGTAAACTGTGTGTTAACTCACCCTCGAGGATTCAGTGACTGTAAACTGTGTGTTAACTCACCCTCGAGGACTGTAAACTGTGTGTTAACTCACCCTCGAGGACTCAAGGACTGTAAACTGTGTGTTAACTCATCCTCGAGGACTGTAAACTGTGTGTTAACTCACCCTCGAGAACTCAAGGACTGTAAACTGTGTGTTAACTCACCCTCGAGGACTCAAGGACTGTAAACTGTGTGTTAACTCACCCTCGAGGACTCAAGGACTGTAAACTGTGTGTTAACTCATCCTCGAGGACTCAAGGACTGTAAACTGTGTGTTAACTCACCCTCGAGGACTCAAGGACTGTAAACTGTGTGTTAACTCACCCTCGAGGACTCAAGGACTGTAAACTGTGTGTTAACTCACCCTCGAGGATTCAATGACTGTAAACTGTGTGTTAACTCACCCTCGAGGACTGTAAACTGTGTGTTAACTCACCCTCGAGGACTCAAGGACTGTAAACTGTGTGTTAACTCACCCTCGAGGACTGTAAACTGTGTGTTAACTCACCCTCGAGGACTCAAGGACTGTAAACTGTGTGTTAACTCATCCTCGAGGACTCAAGGACTGTAAACTGTGTGTTAACTCATCCTCGAGGACTCAAGGACTGTAAACTGTGTGTTAACTCACCCTCGAGGACTCAAGGACTGTAAACTGTGTGTTAACTCACTCTCGAGGACTCAAGGACTGTAAACTGTGTGTTAACTCACCCTCGAGGATTCAGTGACTGTAATGTGTGTTAACTCACCCTCGAGGACTGTAAACTGTGTGTTAACTCACCCTCGAGGACTCAAGGACTGTAAACTGTGTGTTAACTCATCCTCGAGGACTCAAGGACTGTAAACTGTGTGTTAACTCACCCTCGAGGACGACGATGTGCTGGGAGGAGGCAGAGAGAGCGGCCGGGGAGGAAGGACTCACACCGTTGCACTTCCTTCGAGCGAAGAGCGTCTGCTCGGCTTTGCTTGCTCCTTCCTGAAGTCAGAGAGAAGGAGAGGAGTCCTGGGAATGTGAGAGTTAGTCCTGGAAGATGGAGAATGAGTCTTGGAAGAGTGAGAATGAGTCCTGGAAGAGGGAGAATGAGTCCTGGAAGAGGGAGAATGAGTCCTGGAAGAGGGAGAATGAGTGCTGGAAGAGGGAGAATGAGTCCTGGAAGAGGGAGAATGAGTCCTGGAAGAGGGGAGAATGAGTCCTGGAAGAGGGAGAATGAGTCCTGGAAGAGGGAGAATGAGTCCTGGAAGAGGGAGAATGAGTCCTGGAAGAGGGAGAATGAGTCCTGGAAGAGGGAGAATGAGTCCTGGAAGAGGGGAGAATGAGTCCTGGAAGAGGGAGAATGAGTCCTGGAAGAGGGAGAATGAGTCCTGGAAGAGGGAGAATGAGTCCTGGAAGAGGGAGAATGAGTCCTGGAAGAGGGAGAATGAGTCCTGGAAGAGGGAGAATGAGTCCTGGAAGACTCGGGGAGTGTCCTGGAATAGGGAAGTGAGCTGTGATTGGTCTTTGAGTGCCAGACTCTGGGGCATAAGAGGCGGGAATACAGGGAGCTGGGCGATAAAATTCGCTAGTTTTAAAAGGGAAACTGCAATAAAAACACGAACAAATGCGAAAACCTATTGTGTGAATATATCCCATTTGATGAAGATTATTGCAACTCTACTTTTGCTCACTACGAAAAGAAAAGAAAGTTCATAATTTTCTAAATATACAAGTTCATCCCTACCCCACACAACTTGTCTTGGACTCTTTAAAATGGCTTCATAAAGTCTGCCTGGCGCGGTGGTGTAGTCGGCGGCTGGAAGCAACAACCGTTACAACTAGTGAAGTTACCCCGTTAAGGCCACACACCGCAGAAAATGGGAACTAATCCCGCCAACATCCCTTGGTTTCACTCGTTTATGGTTAAATGCAAAAGAAAATGGGAGTTGGCCGGCTAGGCTCTATCCATTAAGGTTATATATAGCAGAAAATGGGAACAGAACGTTCCCCCACAATCACCTTACCTGATTACAGGTGGAGAGTGGGTACCCCACAACGACCTTACCTGGGCCAAGTGCTGCAGGTGGTGTACGGAGATGGTGTCGGCGCCGTCGTGGTCGCCCACCACGCCAGAGTCGTCGAGGGAGGGCTGGCGGTGGGCGGCGTTGTTGGCGAGGCGGAGATGAGGCTTGGTGTCGTCGCAGCCGCCTCTCAGCGCCACCAGACCCGGCGCCGGAGCGGGTCCCGGCTGGCGCGTGTGGCAGTGACAGGTGCAGCAGCGGGTGGACGCTGCCGCCCCGGAACAAGGGTCGCACGAGGAGGAGCCGCCGCCGCCAACCCCTCCAGCAGCTGCCTCGGAGCCCTGGCAGTGTCCTGGAGACGAGGGACGGGGTGAGGGTGCTGGGGCTTGCGAGGCAGATATCGGAGGAGTGATAACGAGTGAAGCAGGTCGAGAGAGGGCCTGCTGGCCCTCAGATACCCCCAGCAGCGATCCCCCCAGCCGCGGCGTGGTGGGGGGCGCAGCAGGCTCTCTCACGGCATCTTCTGATGAAGTGCTTCCTCGCCCCTTGGCCTCCTTCTTCTTCTCCTCCTTCTTCCTGATCCGCTTGGAGAACTTGTCGCTGAGGATGCCGGCGCCGCGACGCATGACGATCACGCGCCGGTTCTTGGGCTTCTTCTTCTCCAGCGGGCGCGCATGCGTCAACTTCTCCGGGTCAAAACTGAAGGTGGAGTCGTCGCGGTGGTCCATCAGGTCCTTGGTCTTCTCCTGCGGGGGAGGGCACTGAACAGTTAGAACACTCCTCTAGCCTGTAACTACAGTAGTCGGTTATGGCCTGCGTCTTGCCTGTAACTACAGTAATCAGTTATGGCCTGCGTCTTGCCTGTAACTACAGTAGTCGGTTATGGCCTGCGTCTTGTCTGTAACTACAGTAGTCAGTTATGGCCTGCGTCTTGCCTGTAACTACAGTAATCAGTTATGGCCTGCGTCTTGCCTGTAACTACAGTAGTCGGTTATGGCCTGCGTCTTGCCTGTAACTACAGTAGTCAGTTATGACCTGCGTCTTGTCTGTAACTACAGTAGTCAGTTATGGTCTGCGTCTCGCCTGTAACTACAGTAGTCAGTTATGACCTACGTCTTGTCTGTAACTACAGTAGTCAGTTATGACCTGCGTCTTGTAACTACAGTAGTCAGTTATGGTCTGCGTCTTGCCTGTAACTACAGTAGTCAGTTATGACCTGCGTCTTGCCTGTAACTACAGTAGTCAGTTATGGTCTGCGTCTTGCCTGTAACTACAGTAGTCAGTTATGACCTGCGTCTTGTCTGTAACTACAGTAGTCAGTTATGACCTGCGTCTTGTAACTACAGTAGTCAGTTATGGTCTGCGTCTTGTCTGTAACTACAGTAGTCAGTTATGACCTGCGTCTTGTCTGTAACTACAGTAGTCAGTTATGACCTGCGTCTTGTAACTACAGTAGTCAGTTATGGCCTGCGTCTTGCCTGTAACTACAGTAGTCAGTTATGACCTGCGTCTTGTCTGTAACTACAGTAGTCAGTTATGACCTGCGTCTTGCCTGTAACTACAGTAGTCAGTTATGGCCTGCGTCTTGTCTGTAACTACAGTAGTCAGTTATGGCCTGCGTCTTGTCTGTAACTACAGTAGTCAGTTATGGTCTGCGTCTTGTCTGTAACTACAGTAGTCAGTTATGACCTGCGTCTTGTAACTACAGTAGTCAGTTATGGCCTGCGTCTTGCCTGTAACTACAGTAGTCAGTTATGACCTGCGACTTGTCTGTAACTACAGTAGTCAGTTATGACCTGCGTCTTGTCTGTAACTACAGTAGTCAGTTATGGTCTGCGTCTTGTCTGTAACTACAGTAGTCAGTTATGGCCTGCGTCTTGCCTGTAACTACAGTAGTCAGTTATGGTCTGCGTCTTGCCTGTAACTACAGTAGTCAGTTATAGCCTGCGTCTTGTCTGTAACTACAGTAGTCAGTTATGACCTGCGTCTTGCCTGTAACTACAGTAGTCAGTTATGACCTGCGTCTTGTCTGTAACTACAGTAGTCAGTTATGACCTGCGCCTTGTCTGTAACTACAGTAGTCAGTTATGGCCTGCGTCTTGTCTGTAACTACAGTAGTCAGTTATGACCTGCGTCTTGCCTGTAACTACAGTAGTCAGTTATGGCCTGCGTCTTGTCTGTAACTACAGTAGTCAGTTATGGCCTGCGTCTTGCCTGTAACTACAGTAGTCAGTTATGGCCTGCGTCTTGCCTGTAACTACAGTAGTCAGTTATGACCTGCGTCTTGCCTGTAACTACAGTAGTCAGTTATGACCTGCGTCTTGTAACTACAGTAGTCAGTTATGGCCTGCGTCTTGTCTGTAACTACTGTAGTCAGTTATGACCTGCGTCTTGTAAATACAGTAGTCAGTTATGACCTGCGTCTTGTCTGTAACTACAGTAGTCAGTTATGACCTGCGTCTTGTAAATACAGTAGTCAGTTATGACCTGCGTCTTGTCTGTAACTACAGTAGTCAGTTATGACCTGCGTCTTGTAACTACAGTAGTCAGTTATGGCCTGCGTCTTGTCTGTAACTACAGTAGTCAGTTATGGTCTGCGTCTTGCCTGTAACTACAGTAGTCGGTTATGACCTGCGTCTTGTCTGTAACTACAGTAGTCAGTTATGGTCTGCGTCTTGCCTGTAACTACAGTAGTCGGTTATGGCCTGCGTCTCGCCTGTAACTACAGTAGTCGGTTATGACCTGCGTCTTGCCTGTAACTACAGTAGTCAGTTATGACCTGCGTCTTGCCTGTAACTACAGTAGTCAGTTATGGCCTGCGTCTTGCCTGTAACTACAGTAGTCAGTTATGACCTGCGTCTTGCCTGTAACTACAGTAGTCAGTTATGACCTGCGTCCTGCCTGTAACTACAGTAGTCGGTTATGGCCTGCGTCTTGCCTGTAACTACAGTAGTCGGTTATGGCCTGCGTCTCGCCTGTAACTACAGTAGTCGGTTATGACCTGCGTCTTGCCTGTAACTACAGTAGTCAGTTATGGCCTGCGTCTTGCCTGTAACTACAGTAGTCAGTTATGGCCTGCGTCTTGCCTGTAACTACAGTAGTCAGTTATGGCCTGCGTCTTGTCTGTAACTACAGTAGTCAGTTATGGCCTGCGTCTTGCCTGTAACTACAGTAGTCGGTTATGGCCTGCGTCTTGCCTGTAACTACAGTAGTCAGTTATGGCCTGCGTCTTGTCTGTAACTACAGTAGTCAGTTATGACCTGCGTCTTGTAACTATAGTAGTCGGTTATGACCTGCGTCTCGCCTGTAACTACAGTAGTCGGTTATGACCTGCATCTTGCCTGTAACTACAGTAGTCAGTTATGGCCTGCGTCTTGCCTGTAACTACAGTAGTCAGTTATGGCCTGCGTCTTGCCTGTAACTACAGTAGTCAGTTATGGCCTGCGTCTCGCCTGTAACTACAGTAGTCAGTTATGGTCTGCGTCTTCCTGTAACTACAGTAGTCAGTTATGGCCTGCGTCTTGTCTGTAACTACAGTAGTCAGTTATGGCCTGCGTCTTGCCTGTAACTACAGTAGTCGGTTATGGCCTGCGTCTTGCCTGTAACTACAGTAGTCAGTTATGACCTGCGTCTTGCCTGTAACTACAGTAGTCAGTTATGGCCTGCGTCTTGTCTGTAACTACAGTAGTCAGTTATGACCTGCGTCTTGTAACTACAGTAGTCGGTTATGACCTGCGTCTCGCCTGTAACTACAGTAGTCAGTTATGACCTGCGTCTTGCCTGTAACTACAGTAGTCGGTTATGACCTGCGTCTCGCCTGTAACTACAGTAGTCAGTTATGGCTTGCGTCTTGTCTGTAACTACAGTAGTCAGTTATGGCCTGCGTCTTGCCTGTAACTACAGTAGTCAGTTATGGCCTGCGTCTTGCCTGTAACTACAGTAGTCGGTTATGACCTGCGTCTTGCCTGTAACTACAGTAGTCAGTTATGGCCTGTGTCTCGCCTGTAACTACAGTAGTCAGTTATGGCCTGCGTCTTGTCTGTAACTACAGTAGTCAGTTATGGCCTGCGTCTTGCCTGTAACTACAGTAGTCAGTTATGACTTGCGTCTTGCCTGTAACTACAGTAGTCAGTTATGACCTGCGTCTTGCCTGTAACTACAGTAGTCGGTTATGGCCTGCGTCTTGCCTGTAACTACAGTAGTCGGTTATGGCCTGCGTCTCGCCTGTAACTACAGTAGTCGGTTATGACCTGTGTCTTGCCTGTAACTACAGTAGTCAGTTATGGCCTGCGTCTTGCCTGTAACTACAGTAGTCAGTTATGGCCTGCGTCTTGCCTGTAACTACAGTAGTTAGTTATGGCCTGCGTCTTGTCTGTAACTACAGTAGTCAGTTATGGCCTGCGTCTTGCCTGTAACTACAGTAGTCGGTTATGGCCTGCGTCTTGCCTGTAACTACAGTAGTCAGTTATGGCCTGCGTCTTGTCTGTAACTACAGTAGTCAGTTATGACCTGCGTCTTGTAACTACAGTAGTCGGTTATGACCTGCGTCTCGCCTGTAACTACAGTAGTCGGTTATGACCTGCGTCTTGCCTGTAACTACAGTAGTCAGTTATGGCCTGCGTCTTGCCTGTAACTACAGTAGTCAGTTATGGCCTGCGTCTTGCCTGTAACTACAGTAGTCAGTTATGGCCTGCGTCTCGCCTGTAACTACAGTAGTCAGTTATGGTCTGCGTCTTGCCTGTAACTACAGTAGTCAGTTATGGCCTGCGTCTTGTCTGTAACTACAGTAGTCAGTTATGGCCTGCGTCTTGCCTGTAACTACAGTAGTCGGTTATGGCCTGCGTCTTGCCTGTAACTACAGTAGTCAGTTATGACCTGCGTCTTGCCTGTAACTTCAGTAGTCAGTTATGGCCTGCGTCTTGTCTGTAACTACAGTAGTCAGTTATGGCCTGCGTCTTGCCTGTAACTACAGTAGTCGGTTATGGCCTGCGTCTTGCCTGTAACTACAGTAGTCAGTTATGACCTGCGTCTTGCCTGTAACTACAGTAGTCAGTTATGGCCTGCGTCTTGTCTGTAACTACAGTAGTCAGTTATGACCTGCGTCTTGTAACTACAGTAGTCGGTTATGACCTGCGTCTCGCCTGTAACTACAGTAGTCAGTTATGACCTGCGTCTTGTCTGTAACTACAGTAGTCGGTTATGGCCTGCGTCTCACCTGTAACTACAGTAGTCAGTTATGGCCTGCGTCTTGTCTGTAACTACAGTAGTCAGTTATGGCCTGCGTCTTGTCTGTAACTACAGTAGTCAGTTATGACCTGCGTCTTGTAACTACAGTAGTCGGTTATGACCTGCGTCTCGCCTGTAACTACAGTAGTCGGTTATGACCTGCGTCTTGCCTGTAACTACAGTAGTCAGTTATGGCCTGCGTCTTGCCTGTAACTACAGTAGTCAGTTATGGCCTGCGTCTTGCCTGTAACTACAGTAGTCAGTTATGGCCTGCGTCTCGCCTGTAACTACAGTAGTCAGTTATGGTCTGCGTCTTGCCTGTAACTACAGTAGTCAGTTATGGCCTGCGTCTTGTCTGTAACTACAGTAGTCAGTTATGGCCTGCGTCTTGCCTGTAACTACAGTAGTCGGTTATGGCCTGCGTCTTGCCTGTAACTACAGTAGTCAGTTATGACCTGCGTCTTGCCTGTAACTACAGTAGTCAGTTATGGCCTGCGTCTTGTCTGTAACTACAGTAGTCAGTTATGGCCTGCGTCTTGCCTGTAACTACAGTAGTCGGTTATGGCCTGCGTCTTGCCTGTAACTACAGTAGTCAGTTATGACCTGCGTCTTGCCTGTAACTACAGTAGTCAGTTATGGCCTGCGTCTTGTCTGTAACTACAGTAGTCAGTTATGACCTGCGTCTTGTAACTACAGTAGTCGGTTATGACCTGCGTCTCGCCTGTAACTACAGTAGTCAGTTATGGCTTGCGTCTTGTCTGTAACTACAGTAGTCAGTTATGGCCTGCGTCTTGCCTGTAACTACAGTAGTCAGTTATGGCCTGCGTTTTGCCTGTAACTACAGTAGTCGGTTATGACCTGCGTCTTGCCTGTAACTACAGTAGTCAGTTATGGCCTGCGTCTCGCCTGTAACTACAGTAGTCAGTTATGACCTGCGTCTTGTAACTACAGTAGTCAGTTATGGTCTGCGTCTTGCCTGTAACTACAGTAGTCAGTTATGACCTGCGTCTTGTCTGTAACTACAGTAGTCAGTTATGACCTGCGTCTTGTAACTACAGTAGTCAGTTATGGTCTGCGTCTTGTCTGTAACTACAGTAGTCAGTTATGACCTGCGTCTTGTCTGTAACTACAGTAGTCAGTTATGACCTGCGTCTTGTAACTACAGTAGTCAGTTATGGCCTGCGTCTTGCCTGTAACTACAGTAGTCAGTTATGACCTGCGTCTTGTCTGTAACTACAGTAGTCAGTTATGACCTGCGTCTTGCCTGTAACTACAGGCAAACTTGCCTGTAACTACAGTAGTCGGTTATGACCTGCGTCTCGCCTGTAACTACAGTAGTCAGTTATGGCTTGCGTCTTGTCTGTAACTACAGTAGTCAGTTATGGCCTGCGTCTTGCCTGTAACTACAGTAGTCAGTTATGGCCTGCGTTTTGCCTGTAACTACAGTAGTCGGTTATGACCTGCGTCTTGCCTGTAACTACAGTAGTCAGTTATGGCCTGCGTCTCGCCTGTAACTACAGTAGTCAGTTATGGCCTGCGTCTTGTCTGTAACTACAGTAGTCAGTTATGGCCTGCGTCTTGCCTGTAACTACAGTAGTCAGTTATGACTTGCGTCTTGCCTGTAACTACAGTAGTCAGTTATGACCTGCGTCTTGCCTGTAACTACAGTAGTCGGTTATGGCCTGCGTCTTGCCTGTAACTACAGTAGTCGGTTATGGCCTGCGTCTCGCCTGTAACTACAGTAGTCGGTTATGACCTGCGTCTTGCCTGTAACTACAGTAGTCAGTTATGGCCTGCGTCTTGCCTGTAACTACAGTAGTCAGTTATGGCCTGCGTCTTGCCTGTAACTACAGTAGTCAGTTATGGCCTGCGTCTTGTCTGTAACTACAGTAGTCAGTTATGGCCTGCGTCTTGCCTGTAACTACAGTAGTCGGTTATGGCCTGCGTCTTGCCTGTAACTACAGTAGTCAGTTATGGCCTGCGTCTTGTCTGTAACTACAGTAGTCAGTTATGACCTGCATCTTGTAACTACAGTAATCGGTTCTGACCTGCGTCTCGCCTGTAACTACAGTAGTCGGTTATGACCTGCGTCTTGCCTGTAACTACAGTAGTCAGTTATGGCCTGCGTCTTGCCTGTAACTACAGTAGTCAGTTATGGCCTGCGTCTTGTCTGTAACTACAGTAGTCAGTTATGACCTGCATCTCGCCTGTAACTACAGTAGTCAGTTATGGTCTGCGTCTTGCCTGTAACTACAGTAGTCAGTTATGGCCTGCGTCTTGTCTGTAACTACAGTAGTCAGTTATGGCCTGCGTCTTGCCTGTAACTACAGTAGTCGGTTATGGCCTGCGTCTTGCCTGTAACTACAGTAGTCAGTTATGACCTGCGTCTTGCCTGTAACTACAGTAGTCAGTTATGGCCTGCGTCTTGTCTGTAACTAAAGTAGTCAGTTATGACCTGCGTCTTGTAACTACAGTAGTCGGTTATGACCTGCGTCTCGCCTGTAACTACAGTAGTCAGTTATGACCTGCGTCTTGCCTGTAACTACAGTAGTCGGTTATGACCTGCGTCTCGCCTGTAACTACAGTAGTCAGTTATGGCTTGCGTCTTGTCTGTAACTACAGTAGTCAGTTATGGCCTGCGTCTTGCCTGTAACTACAGTAGTCAGTTATGGCTTGCGTCTTGTCTGTAACTACAGTAGTCAGTTATGGCCTGCGTCTTGCCTGTAACTACAGTAGTCAGTTATGGCCTGCGTCTTGCCTGTAACTACAGTAGTCGGTTATGACCTGCGTCTTGCCTGTAACTACAGTAGTCAGTTATGGCCTGCGTCTCGCCTGTAACTACAGTAGTCAGTTATGGCCTGCGTCTTGTCTGTAACTACAGTAGTCGGTTATGGCCTGCGTCTCACCTGTAACTACAGTAGTCAGTTATGGCCTGCGTCTTGTCTGTAACTACAGTAGTCGGTTATGACCTGCGTCTTGCCTGTAACTACAGTAGTCAGTTATGGCCTGCGTCTTGCCTGTAACTACAGTAGTCAGTTATGGCCTGCGTCTTGCCTGTAACTACAGTAGTCAGTTATGGCCTGCGTCTTGCCTGTAACTACAGTAGTCAGAAGTTACAGCAAGCCTCCGTGTTGCCTGTAACTTCATATATCGCGACCTGATTTTATAAGCACTATAATCACCTTCTGTGGTTGATTGTTCAATAAACCCCTGAACTATATGTTTAACACTTCTCTAACCCTGTCCATGGAGGACAGAAGAAAATGTATATATGTTGGTTAGCATTGTAAATGTCTGGCCACGTCTGTGGTAGAAAATAATAATAAAAACAAAATTAATATATATTATGAAATATATGGATGAGTGATATTTTCAGTTTTATTATTTAAAATATATATATATAATAATTTTATGTACGTATGTATGAAGGCACAAATGTATGTATATATGTATGTCACGACTTGATGACTATCATTCACATTCTATATATACTTTTTATGTATAAAAAGACCAAAGTAAAAAATGTCACCTCTGACCTTTGAGGTAAGAGAGGTAGGTCCCTCCATCTCCTAGGCGGCCGGAACAGACAAAACTATAAAAAACTCTATTAAAACCTCTCTCTTCCATCCCCCCTTCCATTCTCTTGACGCCTTTCTATATTCCCATTCCCTTCTCCTGGACGCTTGTAACCTTTCCATCATTGATGTTACTCTCCCTTCAATCCTCATAATCCAGTTATACTCCAAATATATTATTATAAATAAAAATAAAAATACTATGTCGCCATATTCACATGTTCGACTTCATCTGTTATTCTGCATGATCAACATGCTTCCCTTTCTCACTAGTTTTGTTGTGTTAACTTCCACCGTAATTATGTTATAATGTGTTTTGGATAAGTTTGAAGTCATCCCTGTCTGAGTGTCCTTCAGTTAGGTTAAGGTGACGAGGATGCTGCTCTGTCTCTCATCCCGTCCTCTGTAGGATGCTGCTCTGTCTCTCATCCCGTCCTCTGTAGGATGCTGCTCTGTCTCTCATCCCGTCCTCTGTAGGGTGCTGCTCTGTCTCTCATACCTTCCTCTGTAGGATGCTGCTCTGTCTCTCATCCCGTCCTCTGTAGGGTGCTGCTCTGTCTCTCATACCTTCCTCTGTAGGATGCTGCTCTGTCTCTCATCCCGTCCTCTGTAGGATGCTGCTCTGTCTCTCATCCCGTCCTCTGTAGGATGCTGCTCTGTCTCTCATCCCGTCCTCTGTAGGATGCTGCTCTGTCTCTCATCCCGTCCTCTGTAGGATGCTGCTCTGTCTCTCATCCCGTCCTCTGTAGGGTGCTGCTCTGTCTCTCATACCTTCCTCTGTAGGATGCTGCTCTGTCTCTCATCCCGTCCTCTGTAGGATGCTGCTCTGTCTCATTCCTTTCGGTGCAGTTAAGGATTGCTTTACCCTCCATGCAACCTATCTAAACACCTCTCACTTCCCTTATCTTTATATTCTTCTCCACACTAAGTACTCCAGTCTCCCCCCCCCCCCCCCCCCCCACCAGCCTCCGTCAACACCTGCCTCCGTCAACACCTGCCTCCGTCAACACCTGCCTCCGTCAATATCTGGCTTCGGTATGGCCATTATAAGAAGCCGAACACTTTCCAGCGAACGGTAACCTCGTCAGAAGAATAAAATCTATTACTTGAAACTGACAAACTTTTGTTTTGAAGCATTAAAGAAAGTCTGTCTTTGATATTTAGCCTTTTAGAAATCAGTCTTTCTTCCAGGGCTTCTTGCTCTGTCTCAGGTTCACCTTTCACTCATTTCCTCACCTTCCTTCTTCTGTTTCCTCATTATCTTCGCTCTCATTCTTCTGACCTCTCATATATCTCCGTTTGTCTGTCTATCGCACTTTCCCTCCCTGCCTCCCTCCCTCTCCCACCCCCCTCTCGGTCTGTCTGTCTGTCTGTCTGTCTGTCTGTCTGTCTGTCTGTCTGTCTGTCTGTCTGTCTGTCTCTCTCTCTCTCTCTCTGTCTCTATCTCTGTCTGTCTGTCTCTCTCTCTCTCTCTCTCTCTCTCTCTCTCTCTCTCTCTCTCTCTCTCTCTCTCTCTCTCTCTCTCTCTCTCTCTAATCAGCTCTCTAACACTTACATATATCTTCCCTCCCACTCTCACTTTCCCATTTTCCCTTCCTCCTATTCCCGTTTTCTTCGCCTCTAATTACCATTTACCTCCTCTCTCATTACTCTTCCTCCCCCCCCACCTCCACCTCTTTCCATCTGTCTTATCTTCTCTCCTAATGCTACCTTTCCTCATGTCTCCTCATGCACCTCCTCCTTAAACGTCTTACCGCCCCCCTCACTCACCTCCTCCGTGTTCTCAGCCTCCTCCTCATAACTCATAGCCACGACGGCCAACATGAGGTTGATGAGGTAGAAGGACCCGAAGAAAACGACGATGGCGAAGAACACCACCTGTAGCGGCCCTCCTGTAGCGATCACCTGAAGGAGACCAGAAGAGCTTAGACACGGCCACCAGGGGGCAGGTTCACGAAGTAGTTACGCAAGCACTTGCGAACCTGGGGCCAGGTTAACGAAGTAGTTACGCAAGCACTTGCGAACCTGGGGCCAGGTTAACGAAGTAGTTACGCAAGCACTTGCGAACCTGGGGCCAGGTTAACGAAGTAGTTACGCAAGCACTTGCGAACCTGGGGCCAGGTTAACGAAGTAGTTACGCAAGCACTTGCGAACCTGGGGCCAGGTTAACGAAGTAGTTACGCAAGCACTTGCGAACCTGGGGCCAGGTTAACGAAGTAGTTACGCAAGCACTTGCGAACCTGGGGCCAGGTTAACGAAGTAGTTACGCAAGCACTTGCGAACCTGGGGCCAGGTTAACGAAGTAGTTACGCAAGCACTTGCGAACCTGGGGCCAGGTTAACGAAGTAGTTACGCAAGCACTTGCGAACCTGGGGCCAGGTTAACGAAGTAGTTACGCAAGCACTTGCGAACCTGGGGCCAGGTTAACGAAGTAGTTACGCAAGCACTTGCGAACCTGGGGCCAGGTTAACGAAGTAGTTACGCAAGCACTTATGAACCTGGGGCCAGGTTAACGAAGTAGTTACGCAAGCACTTGCGAACCTGGGGCCAGGTTAACGAAGTAGTTACGCAAGCACTTGCGAACCTGGGGCCAGGTTAACGAAGTAGTTACGCAAGCACTTGCGAACCTGGGGCCAGGTTAACGAAGTAGTTACGCAAGCACTTGCGAACCTGGGGCCAGGTTAACGAAGTAGTTACGCAAGCACTTGCGAACCTGGGGCCAGGTTAACGAAGTAGTTACGCAAGCACTTATGAACCTGGGGCCAGGTTAACGAAGTAGTTACGCAAGCACTTGCGAACCTGGGGCCAGGTTAACGAAGTAGTTACGCAAGCACTTGCGAACCTGGGGCCAGGTTAACGAAGTAGTTACGCAAGCACTTGCGAACCTGGGGCCAGGTTAACGAAGTAGTTACGCAAGCACTTGCGAACCTGGGGCCAGGTTAACGAAGTAGTTACGCAAGCACTTATGAACCTGGGGCTAGATTCACGAAGCAGTTACGCAAGCACTTACGTACCTGGGGCTAGGTTCACGAAGTAGTTACGCAAGCACTTGCGAACCTGGGGCCAGATTCACGAAGTAGTTACGCAAGCACTTGCAAACCTGGGGCCAGGTTAACGAAGTAGTTACGCAAGCTCTTATGAACCTGGGGCTAGATTCACGAAGCAGTTACGCAAGCACTTACGTACCTGGGGCCAGGTTAACGAAGCAGTTACGCAAGCACTTATGAACCTGGGGCTAGATTCACGAAGCAGTTACGCAAGCACTTGCGAACCTGGGGCCAGTTTAACGAAGTAGTTACGCAAGCACTTATGAACATGGGGCTAGATTCACGAAGCAGTTACGCAAGCACTTGCGAACCTGGAGCCAGGTTAACGAAGTAGTTACGCAAGCACTTATGAACCTGGGGCTAGATTCACGAAGCAGTTACGCAAGCACTTACGTACCTGGGGCCAGGTTAACGAAGCAGTTACGCAAGCACTTACGAACCTGGGACTAGATTCACGAAGCAGTTACGCAAGCACTTACGAACCTGGGGCTAGATTCACGAAGCAGTTACGCAAGCACTTACGAACCTGGGACTAGATTCACGAAGCAGTTACGCAGTTACTTCAGAGCTGAGACCTTACTTTAGAGCTGGGACCTTAGCTTAAAGGTGAGACCGTAGCTCTAGTTTAGAGCAATAATCCTAGTTTAGCTTTTTAAAAATCTGAATACGCAAGAGTGTATATACAGTAGGATACAATATGCAAGGACGTATATACAATAGGATACTTTATTACACAATTTTGTGGGTAGTTTTCTGGCATTTGAACATATTCCAATGAAGGATGTTACCACGAACGGCTGCTTCCTAGACTCCTTGTTAACTTATTATTGCTAAAAACGAACCTGGGGCCAGATTCACGAAGCAGTTACGCAAGCACTTACGAACCTGTACATCTTTTCTCAATCTTTGGCGGCTTTGTTTACAATTAACAGTTAATGAGCTCTGAAGCACCAGGAGGCTGTTTATAACAATAACAACAGTTGATTGGCAAGTTTTCATGCTTGTAAACTGTTTAATAAATGTAACAAAAGCATCAGAGATTGAGGAAAGATGTACACGTTCGTAAGTGCTTGCGTAACTGCTTCGTGAATCTGGCCCCAGGTGAATGGAAAATAGGTAGAATTTAAGAGGGAAATTTTGCCCAGATGGTCTCCTCACCTTGTTGTAGACGTCTTCCCAATAGTCGAGAGTGATGAGCTGGAAGGTTGTTAACATTGACCACAGGAAGTTGTCAAAATTGGTGTAGCCGAAGTTGGGGTTGTCTCCTACGTCTGGCAGGCAGCCGAAGCCCGCTGGACACACTCTGGAACACAAGAAGGGTTGGTACACCTGGGTGTTGTGACGGTAGTGTTGGTACACCTGGGTGTTGTGACGGTGGTGTTGGTACACCTGGGTGTTGTGACGGTGGTGTTGGTACACCTGGGTGTTGTGACGGTGGTGTTGGTACACCTGGGTGTTGTGACGGTGGTGTTGGTACACCTGGGTGTTGTGACGGTGGTGTTGGTACACCTGGGTGTTGTGACGGTGGTGTTGGTACACCTGGGTGTTGTGACGGTGGTGTTGGTACACCTGGGTGTTGTGACGGTGGTGTTGGTACACCTGGGTGTTGTGACGGTGGTGTTGGTACACCTGGGTGTTGTGACGGTGGTGTTGGTACACCTGGGTGTTGTGACGGTGGTGTTGGTACACCTGGGTGTTGTGACGGTGGTGTTGGTACACCTGGGAGTTGTGACGGTGGTGTTGGTACACCTGGGTGTTGTGACGGTGGTGTTGGTACACCTGGGTATTGTGACGGTGGTGTTGGTACACCTGGGTGTTGTGACGGTGGTGTTGGTGCACCTGGGTGTTGTGACGGTGGTGTTGGTACACCTGGGTGTTGTGACGGTGGTGTTGGTACACCTGGGTGTTGTGACGGTGGTGTTGGTACACCTGGGTGTTGTGACGGTGGTGTTGGTACACCTGGGTGTTGTGACGGTGGTGTTGGTACACCTGGGTGTTGTGACGGTGGTGTTGGTACACCTGGGTGTTGTGACGGTGGTGTTGGTACACCTGGGTGTTGTGACGGTGGTGGTGTTGGTACACCTGGGTGTTGTGACGGTGGTGTTGGTACACCTGGGTGTTGTGACGGTGGTGTTGGTACACCTGGGTGTTGTGACGGTGGTGTTGGTACACCTGGGTGTTGTGACGGTGGTATTGGTACACCTGGGTGTTGTGACGGTGGTGTTGGTACACCTGGGTGTTGTGACGGTGGTGTTGGTACACCTGGGTGTTGTGACGGTGGTGTTGGTACACCTGGGTGTTGTGACGGTGGTGTTGGTACACCTGGGTGTTGTGACGGTGGTGTTGGTACACCTGGGTGTTGTGACGGTGGTGTTGGTACACCTGGGTGTTGTGACGGTGGTGTTGGTACACCTGGGTGTTGTGACGGTGGTGTTGGTACACCTGGGTGTTGTGACGGTGGTGTTGGTACACCTGGTGTGTTGTGACTGGGTGTGGTGTTGGTACACCTGGGTGTTGTGACGGTGGGTGTTGGTACACCTGGGTGTTGTGACGGTGGTGTTGGTACACCTGGGTGTTGTGACGGTGGTGTTGGTACACCTGGTGTGTTGTGACGGTGGTGTTGGTACACCTGGGTGTTGTGACGGTGGTGTTGGTACACCTGGGTGTTGGTGTTACACCAGGGTGTTGGTACACCTGGGTGTTGGTGTTACACAGGGTGGTGTTGGTACACCTGGGTGTTGTTACACCTGGGTGTTGTGTTGGTACACCTGGGTGTGTGACGGTGGTGTTGGTACACCTGGGTGTTGTGACGGTGGTGTTGGTACACCTGGGTGTGTGGTGGTGTTGGTACACCTGGGTGTTGTGTTACACCTGGGTGGGTGGTGTTGGTACACCTGGGTGTTGTGACGGTGGTGTTGGTACACCTGGGTGTTGTGACGGTGGTGTTGGTACACCTGGGTGTTGTGACGGTGGTGTTGGTACACCTGGGTGTTGTGACGGTGGTGTTGGTACACCTGGGTGTTGTGACGGTGGTGTTGGTACACCTGGGTGTTGTGTTACACTGGGTGGTGTTGGTACACCTGGGTGTTGGTGACACCTGGGTGTTGGGTGTTGGTACACCTGGGTGTTGTGACGGTGGTGTTGGTACACCTGGGTGTTGGTGGTGTTGGTACACCTGGGTGTTGGTGTTGGTACACTGGGTGGTGGTGTTGGTACACCTGGGTGTTGGTGACGGTGGTGTTGGTACACCTGGGTGTTGTGTTGGTACACTGGGGGTGGTGTTGGTACACCTGGGTGTTGTGACGGTGGTGTTGGTACACCTGGGTGTTACACCTGGGTGGTGGTGTTGGTACACCTGGTGTGTTGTACACCTGGGGGTGGTGTTGGTACACCTGGGTGTTGTGACGGTGGTGGTGTTGGTACACCTGGGTGTTGTGACGGTGGTGTTGGTACACCTGGGTGTTGTACACCTGGGTGTTGGTACACCTGGGTGTTGTGACGGTGGTGGTGTTGGTACACCTGGGTGTTGACGGTGGTGTTGGTACACCTGGGTGGTGACGGGTGTTGGTACACCTGGGTGTTGTGGTACACCTGGGTGGTGGTGTTGGTACACCTGGGTGTTGTGACGGTGGTGTTGGTACACCTGGGTGTTGTGTTGGTACACCTGGGGTGTTGGTGGTGTTGGTACACCTGGGTGTTGTGACGGTGGTGTTGGTACACCTGGGTGTTGTGACGGTGGTGTTGGTACACCTGGGTGTTGTGGTACACCTGGGGGTGGTGTTGGTACACCTGGGTGTTGTGACGGTGGTGTTGGTACACCTGGGTGTTGTGACGGTGTGTTGGTACACCTGGGTGTGTTGTACACCTGGGTGGTGGTTGGTACACCTGGGTGTTGTGACGGTGGTGTTGGTACACCTGGGTGTTGTGACGGTGGTGTTGGTACACCTGGGTGTTGTGACGGTGGTGTTGGTACACCTGGGTGTTGTGACGGTGGTGTTGGTACACCTGGGTGTTGTGACGGTGGTGTTGGTACACCTCGGTGTTGTGACGGTGGTGGTGTTGGTACACCTGGGTGCTGTGACGGTGGTGTTGGTACACCTGGGTGTTGTGACGGTGGTGGTGTTGGTACACCTGGGTGTTGTGACGGTGGTGGTGTTGGTACACCTGGGTGCTGTGACGGTGGTGGTGTTGGTACACCTGGGTGTTGTGACGGTGGTGGTGTTGGTACACCTGGGTGTTGTGACGGTGGTGTTGGTACACCTGGGTGTTGTGACGGTGGTGTTGGTACACCTGGGTGTTGTGACGGTGGTGTTGGTACACCTGGGTGTTGTGACGGTGGTGGTTGGTACACCTGGGTGTTGTGACGGTGGTGTTGGTACACCTGGGTGTTGTGACGGTGGTGTTGGTACACCTGGGTGTTGTGACGGTGGTGTTGGTACACCTGGGTGTTGTGACGGTGGTGTTGGTACACCTGGGTGTTGTGACGGTGGTGTTGGTACACCTGGGTGTTGTGACGGTGGTGTTGGTACACCTGGGTGTTGTGACGGTGGTGTTGGTACACCTGGGTGTTGTGACTGTATTTTGTTATTATTTTTGTTTACACACAGGAGGGTACAGGAGCAGGCGACTGCTGACTCCTGTTAGCTGGCTGAGAGCTTTCCCTTCCCATAGCTCATGGTACACAACGGACACTGACGGACACTGACGGACACAAGGGACACTGATGGACACAAGGGACACTGACGGACACAAGGGACACTGACGGACACAAGGGACACTGACGGACACAAGGGACACTGACGGACACAAGGGACACTGACGGACACAAGGGACACTGACGGACACAAGGGTCACTGACGGACACAAGGGACACTGACGGACACAAGGGTCACTGACGGACACAAGGGTCACTGACGGACACAAGGGTCACTGACGGACACAAGGGACACTGACGGACACAAGGGACACTGACGGACACAAGGGACACTGACGGACACAAGGGTCACTGACGGACACAAGGGACACTGACGGACACAAGGGACACTGACGGACACAAGGGTCACTGACGGACACAAGGGTCACTTACGGACACAAGGGACACTGACGGACACAAGGGACACTGACGGACACAAGGGTCACTGACGGACACAAGGGACACTGACGGACACAAGGGACACTGACGGACACAAGGGACACTGACGGACACAAGGGTCACTGACGGACACAAGGGACACTGACGGACACAAGGGTCACTGACGGACACTGACGGACACAAGGGTCACTGACGGACACTGACGGACACAAGGGTCACTGACGGACACAAGGGACACTGACGGACACAAGGGTCACTGACGGACACAAGGGTCACTGACGGACACAAGGGACACTGACGGACACAAGGGTCACTGACGGACACAAGGGTCACTGACGGACACTGACGGACACAAGGGTCACTGACGGACACAAGGGACACTGACGGACACAAGGGACACTGACGGACACAAGGGTCACTGACGGACACAAGGGACACTGACGGACACAAGGGACACTGACGGACACAAGGAACACTGACGGACACAAGGGTCACTGACGGACACAAGGGACACTGACGGACACAAGGGTCACTGACGGACACAAGGGACACTGACGGACACAAGGGACACTGACGGACACAAGGGACACTGACGGACACAAGGGACACTGACGGACACAAGGGACACTGACGGACACAAGGGACACTGACGGACACAAGGGACACTGACGGACACAAGTGACACTGACGGACACAAGGGACACTGACGGACACAAGGAACACTGACGGACACAAGGGTCACTGACGGACACAAGGGACACTGACAGACACAAGGGACACTGACGGACACAAGGGACACTGACGGACACTGACGGACACAAGGGTCACTGACGGACACAAGGGTCACTGACGGACACAAGGGTCACTGACGGACACAAGGGACACTGACGGACACAAGGGTCACTGACGGACACAAGAGTCACTGACGGACACAAGGGTCACTGACGGACACAAGGGACACTGACGGACACAAGGGTCACTGACGGACACAAGAGTCACTGACGGACACAAGGGTCACTGACGGACACAAGGGTCACTGACGGACACAAGGGTCACTGACGGACACAAGGGTCACTGACGGACACAAGGGTCACTGACGGACACAAGGGTCACTGACGGACACAAGGGACACTGACGGACACAAGGGTCACTGACGGACACAAGGGTCACTGATGGACACTGACGGACACAAGGGTCACTGACGGACACAAGGGACACTGACGGACACAAGGGTCACTGACGGACACAAGGGACACTGACGGACACAAGGGACACTGACGGACACAAGGGACACTGACGGACACAAGGGTCACTGACGGACACAAGGGTCACTGACGGACACAAGGGTCACTGACGGACACAAGGGTCACTGACGGACACAAGGGTCACTGACGGACACAAGGGTCACTGACGGACACTGACGGACACAAGGGTCACTGACGGACACAAGGGACACTGACGGACACAAGGGACACTGACGGACACAAGGGACACTGACGGACACAAGGGTCACTGACGGATACAAGGGACACTGACGGACACAAGGGTCACTGACGGACACAAGGGACACTGACGGACACAAGGGTCACTGACGGACACAAGGGTCACTGACGGACACAAGGGTCACTGACGGACACAAGGGTCACTGACGGACACAAGGGTCACTGACGGACACAAGGGACACTGACGGACACAAGGGACACTGACGGACACAAGGGACACTGACGGACACAAGGGTCACTGACGGACACAAGGGTCACTGACGGACACAAGGGTCACTGACGGACACAAGGGTCACTGACGGACACAAGGGACACTGACGGACACAAGGGACACTGACGGACACAAGGGTCACTGACGGACACAAGGGACACTGACGGACACAAGGGACACTGACGGACACAAGGGTCACTGACGGACACAAGGGTCACTGACGGACACAAGGGTCACTGACGGACACAAGGGACACAGACGGACGCAGTTGGACACAAGGGACACATACGGTCACAAGGGTCACTGACGGACACAAGGGACACTGACGGACACAAGGGTCACTGACGGACACAAGGGACACTGACGGACACAAGGGTCACTGACGGACACAAGGGTCACTGACGGACACAAGGGACACTGACGGACACAAGGGTCACTGACGGACACAAGGGACACTGACGGACACAAGGGACACTGACGGACACAAGGGTCACTGACGGACACAAGGGACACTGACGGACACAAGGGACACTGACGGACACAAGGGTCACTGACGGACACAAGGGTCACTGACGGACACAAGGGTCACTGACGGACACAAGGGTCACTGACGGACACAAAGGGTCACTGACGGACACAAGGGTCACTGACGGACACAAGGGACACAGACGGACGCAGTTGGACACAAGGGACACTGACGGACACAAGGGTCACTGACGGACACAAGGGACACTGACGGACACAAGGGACACTGACGGACACAAGGGTCACTGACGGACACAAGGGTCACTGACGGACACAAGGGTCACTGACGGACACAAGGGTCACTGACGGACACAAGGGACACTGACGGACACAAGGGACACTGACGGACACAAGGGTCACTGACGGACACAAGGGACACTGACGGACACAAGGGACACTGACGGACACAAGGGTCACTGACGGACACAAGGGTCACTGATGGACACAAGGGACACAGACGGACGCAGTTGGACACAAGGGACACATACGGTCACAAGGGTCACTGACGGACACAAGGGACACTGATGGACACAAGGGTCACTGACGGACACAAGGGACACTGACGGACACAAGGGTCACTGACGGACACAAGGGTCACTGACGGACACAAGGGACACTGACGGACACAAGGGTCACTGACGGACACTGACGGACACAAGGGACACTGACGGACACAAGGGTCACTGACGGACACTGACGGACACAAGGGACACTGACGGACACAAGGGTCACTGACGGACACTGACGGACACAAGGGACACTGACGGACACAAGGGTCACTGACGGACACAAGGGACACTGACGGACACAAGGGTCACTGACAGACACTGACGGACACAAGGGACACTGACGGACACAAGGGTCACTGACGGACACAAGGGACACTGACGGACACAAAGGTCACTGACGGACACTGACGGACACAAGGGACACTGACGGACACAAGGGTCACTGACGGACACTGACGGACACAAGGGACACTGACGGACACAAGGGTCACTGACGGACACAAGGGTCACTGACGGACACAAGGGTCACTGACGGACACAAGGGACACATACGGTCACAAGGGACACAGACGGACACAATACAGTTGACATACCTGGCGCCCGTAGCGTTGCCACAGAGTCTGGGAGAGCCAAACTGCGGGTGATCGGTGCCGTTCTCAATGTACCAGTTGGTGTCGTTGTCCAGCCACCTGTGGCAACCACAACACCTCAGGTTAGTCTTACACATTACAACACACATGCCATGCACAACATTATTGTAATTACATTTATAATATATTTATATAATGTGTGTGCGTATTCAGCTCGTTGTGCTTGTGGGCTGGTCCTTCGAACCGGATATGTGTGTGTAAATCACAAAAAAATTAACACATGATGAACAAATGTGACAGTGTCAGACCACGGAGGAAGGATTAGGACTGGACTTTCCTTAAATATTTTCGTATTTAATAATGCTTCTTCAGAAGGATGGATTTACAGATTGATTAATGAAGATTAAGCCACCACAAGATGTGGCATGGGCATGAATATCCCATAAGTGGTAGATTGTTTAGAATAAATGAGATATTTGGTCATGAAAGGATTTACAATTTAGTGGTGTGGATATATAGGCTGGAATGAGGTGAGATGAGAAACGATGTCATTAATGGGATATTAATAAATTATTATTGAGATAAATGGGTCTCAATGATCCCACTCAAATAACCTTTTAACTGATCAATCAAAAATAGATCTAAATTATTCAGACAACTACTAATGTTCAAATTACATGATTGTGTAATCTGTATTAAAGCAGATTTAATATTGTTCCTATTGAAAATACTTTTACAAGTCTTTATTGAAGAAGCTATCGCCCAATTAATTTGTTGAGAACTTTCTGATAAATGAACATACAAAGTAATAGATATTTACGATACAATTATCACTACGAGAACTATTTCTAACTAATAGTTTTCCAACTTTTTTTCATAATTAAACAATACATGTATATGAAAATGTTGCAAGGCCTTGATAACATTTTCGAACCCTGAAAAATATAGTAAACATGACACATTTTTGGGGGGAATTTTCTCGCTGCATATATTACTATATGCAGTGAGGCAGGACCAAAGAGCCGAAGTTCAACCCCTGCTAACACAACTAGGTGAGTACACTTTTTCAGTGTCAGAAAGAACACTGATGTGTTTCAGTATCACTGAGAGAACTTTTTCAGTATCAGAGTAGTTAACAGCTGAAATGCATTAGGCAGTGATGTGGTGGAGGCTGACTCCATACACAGTTTCAAGTGTAGATATGATAGAGCCCAGTAGGCTCGGGAACCTGTACACCAGTTGATTGACAGTTGAGTGGCGGGACCAAAGAGCCATTCCACGGACTCAAGATTCACTCTCATGTAAGGTTTGCTTGTGCTACGGGACGGTCCATATTCCACCCGCGACTCTTTCCACAGAATTCTCTTTGGTATGGAAAACTCTTGTTTTCACAGACCCAACTAAATTCATTGTATTTAACCGTTGTGTTTGGTGAGGACTGTCTCTTTTGTGTGGTGTGTGTCGTGTTTGGTGAGGACTGTCTCTTTTGTGGTGTGGTGTGTCGTGTTTGGTGAGGACTGTCTCTTTTGTGGTGTGGTGTGTCGTGTTTGGTGAGGACTGTCTCTTTTGTGTGGTGTGTCGTGTTTGGTGAGGACTGTCTCTTTTGTGTGGTGTGTGTCGTGTTTGGTGAGGACTGTCTCTTTTGTGGTGTGGTGTGTCGTGTTTGGTGAGGACTGTCTCTTTTGTGGTGTGGTGTGTCGTGTTTGGTGAGGACTGTCTCTTTTGTGTGGTGTGTGTCGTGTTTGGTGAAGACTGTCTCTTTTGTGGTGTGGTGTGTCGTGTTTGGTGAGGACTGTCTCTTTTGTGTGGTGTGTCGTGTTTGGTGAGGACTGTCTCTTTTGTGGTGTGTGTCGTGTTTGGTGAAGACTGTCTCTTTTGTGTGGTGTGTCGTGTTTGGTGAAGACTGTCTCTTTTGTGTGGTGTGTCGTGTTTGGTGAAGACTGTCTCTTTTGTGTGGTGTGTGTCGTGTTTGGTGAAGACTGTCTCTTTTGTGTGGTGTGTCGTGTTTGGTGAAGACTGTCTCTTTTGTGTGGTGTGTGTCGTGTTTGGTGAGGACTGTCTCTTTTGTGTGGTGGTGTGTCGTGTTTGGTGAAGACTGTCTCTTTTGTGTGGTGTGTGTGTCGTGTTTGGTGAAGACTGTCTCTTTTGTGTGGTGTGTGTGTCGTGTTTGGTGAAGACTGTCTCTTTTGTGTGGTGTGTCGTGTTTGGTGAAGACTGTCTCTTTTGTGTGGTGTGTGTGTCGTGTTTGGTGAGGACTGTCTCTTTTGTGTGGTGGTGTGTCGTGTTTGGTGAGGACTGTCTCTTTTGTGTGGTGTGTCGTGTTTGGTGAGGACTGTCTCTTTTGTGTGGTGTGTGTGTCGTGTTTGGTGAAGACTGTCTCTTTGTGTGGTGTGTCGTGTTTGGTGAAGACTGTCTCTTTTGTGTGGTGTGTCGTGTTTGGTGAGGACTGTCTCTTTTGTGTGTGGTGTGTGTGTCGTGTTTGGTGAGGACTGTCTCTTTTGTGTGGTGGTGTGTCGTGTTTGGTGAAGACTGTCTCTTTTGTGTGGTGTGGTGTGTCGTGTTTGGTGAGGACTGTCTCTTTTGTGTGGTGTGTGTGTGTCGTGTTTGGTGAAGACTGTCTCTTTTGTGTGGTGTGTCGTGTTTGGTGAAGACTGTCTCTTTTGTGTGGTGTGTCGTGTTTGGTGAAGACTGTCTCTTTTGTGTGGTGTGTGTCGTGTTTGGTGAGGACTGTCTCTTTTGTGTGGTGGTGTGTCGTGTTTGGTGAAGACTGTCTCTTTTGTGTGGTGTGTGTGTCGTGTTTGGTGAAGACTGTCTCTTTTGTGTGGTGTGTGTGTCGTGTTTGGTGAAGACTGTCTCTTTTGTGTGGTGTGTCGTGTTTGGTGAAGACTGTCTCTTTTGTGTGGTGTGTGTGTCGTGTTTGGTGAGGACTGTCTCTTTTGTGTGGTGGTGTGTCGTGTTTGGTGAAGACTGTCTCTTTTGTGTGGTGTGTCGTGTTTGGTGAGGACTGTCTCTTTTGTGTGGTGTGTGTGTCGTGTTTGGTGAAGACTGTCTCTTTTGTGTGGTGTGTCGTGTTTGGTGAAGACTGTCTCTTTTGTGTGGTGTGTCGTGTTTGGTGAGGACTGTCTCTTTTGTGTGGTGTGTGTGTCGTGTTTGGTGAGGACTGTCTCTTTTGTGTGGTGGTGTGTCGTGTTTGGTGAAGACTGTCTCTTTTGTGTGGTGTGTCGTGTTTGGTGAGGACTGTCTCTTTTGTGTGGTGTGTGTGTCGTGTTTGGTGAAGACTGTCTCTTTTGTGTGGTGTGTCGTGTTTGGTGAAGACTGTCTCTTTTGTGTGGTGTGTCGTGTTTGGTGAAGACTGTCTCTTTTGTGTGGTGTGTCGTGGTTGGTGAGGACTGTCTCTTTTGTGTGGTGTGTCGTGGTTGGTGAGGACTGTCTCTTTTGTGTGGTGTGTCGTGTTTGGTGAAGACTGTCTTTTGTGTGGTGTGTCGTGTTTGGTGTGGACTGTCTCTTTTGTGGTGTGTGTCGTGTTTGGTGAAGACTGTCTCTTTTGTGTGGTGTGTCGTGTTTGGTGAAGACTGTATCTTTTGTGTGGTGGTGTGTCGTGTTTGGTGAAGACTGTCTCTTTTGTGTGGTGTGTCGTGGTTGGTGATGACTGTCTCTTTTGTGTGGTGTGTCGTGGTTGGTGAGGACTGTCTCTTTTGTGTGGTGTGTCGTGGTTGGTGAGGACTGTCTCTTTTGTGTGGTGGTGTGTCGTGTTTGGTGAAGACTGTCTCTTTTGTGTGGTGTGTCGTGGTTGGTGAGGACTGTCTCTTTTGTGTGGTGTGTCGTGGTTGGTGAGGACTGTCTCTTTTGTGTGGTGTGTCGTGGTTGGTGAGGACTGTCTCTTTTGTGTGGTGTGTCGTGGTTGGTGAGGACTGTCTCTTTTGTGTGGTGTGTGTCGTGGTTGGTGAGGACTGTCTCTTTTGTGTGGTGTGTGTGTCGTGTTTGGTGAGGACTGTCTCTTTGTACTGTACTCTCACGTAATGGCAAACTTAGCAATCACTAAAAAAGCCAGAGACCCATTTCAACCACGAAATTGTACAGAGAGAGAGGGGGGGGGAGGGAAGTTAGTTAATTAGTAGTTAGTAACAGTTGATTGACAGTTGAGAGGCGGGCTGAAAGAGCAGAGCTCAACCCCCGCAAGCACAACTAGGTGAGTATATAGAGTCGCTTGCTGGCTAGCACTCTCCCGTCACTCAATATATAGTTAACAGTTAGACAAGGCGTTTATCAACAATATAACATATAATAGTACATACGGACACGCACTACATACACATATAAACTGTATACAAATATATATATATATATATATATATATATATATATATATATATATATATATATATATATATATACTCACTCAAACATATATGTATAAATGGCATTAATTATACAAATTAACTCTAGAAATTTAAATCAACTCTAGAAATATATTTCTAGAGTTAGACACAGTGAATATTAATAATAATATGGCGAATACACTGTATCATAACAGAGACGTGGTTCAGGGAAAAATATTCCCGTTTGTGTGGTTATCTTGAGGTTATCTTGAGATGATTTCGGGGCTTTAGTGTCCCCGCGGCCCAGTCCTCCACCAGGCCTCCACCCCTAGGAAGCAGCCCGTGACAGCTGACTGACACCCAGGTACCTATATTTTACTGCTAGGTAACAGGGGGCACAGGGTGAAAGAAACTCTGCCCCATTGTTTCTCGCCCGGGATCGAACCCGGGACCACAGGATCACAAGTCCAGCGTGCTGTCCGCTCGGCCGACCGGGTGCTGTTGTATTTCATGAAGACTCGAATTATATGGACATTCGTATTTGATGGAGAGACATTTCCTGGGACCCGTTATCTTTCCTGACGACGCAACGTGCATGATATCTTATTTTATGTCGACGTTCGAGTTTGGATGGGAAGTCATATGTGATGATATCACATCGTATAGACCGAAATAATACACATAGAGTAGATTGTAGATTTAGATTACCAGTAGATTGACGGTTGAGAGGCGGGACCAAAGAGCCACAGCTCAACCCCCGCAAGCACAATTTGGTGAGTA